ATTGTTGATAATAGCCTTTTAATCTTATCCTGAAAAGGGTAAAATGTTAGCTAAAACACAAAGTCATGTTGCATGATATGTATGATGCAATAAATTGTGTTTCATCAATGTTTATGATACATGAATGTAATGGATATGCATGTAAGTTGAGTAGCTGTCTTGCTGAGGAAAATAAATCCTTGATAACTAAAGATAATGAAATCTTTGATTGTTGTTGGGGAAAGTAAATCCTTGACCAAAGCTGGGGATTCCAAAAAAATCTTTGATTACTGGAGATGAGAAATCCTTGCTGACTGCTGACTGCTTGGGGAATAAGGAAAACACTGAAAATCCCTATTGGGGAGTTAAAACATAGGAGACTTCTGCTGGAGAAATGAGACTGAGAATCTTCAATCTGCTGGGAAATAACTCTGTGGGGAGAATGCTTAGACTATTCTGGCTCCGCTGGGGATAGGATTTTTCAGGGTTTTCGGGCTCCACTGGGAATCTCGAAGCTTAACTCTGATGGGGATTTTGAAACTTAACTCAGTTGGGGAATTATACTCTAAATTTAGCCTTATTGAGGATCTGAATGATGTATCGTAGGGGATTTCTTCTGGAATGGCATAAAGATTTCTTCCTACTCCTTCAACCTATCAGTAATTATCCTTTTTCAATTTCGTTTTATTTGTAAGCAGTGATTATATTCAAATGCATATGCCTATTTAACAAAACATTGGACGTTTTCAAATAAAACATAAGTGTAAAAAGAAAGTCAAACAAATCTCTGCACTTTGAAGTATATTTGTATTTAACTTTTGTGAGTATCTTTGTACAAAGGAGACAGACATCCTAGTAAGGGAATGTTGTCGTAAAAAATTGAAAAAATTTATACAAAAGAAAGATGGCTATGTGTAATAATTCCATGGGATTCCCATTCTGCTATAGCCTTCACAACTCTGAATATTTAGTCCATTCGCTGCTTCGCCCGCTGATCACTGGATTGATCAGAAGCTTGGAGCTCGTTGGTGAAGAGATTTATCTTAAAGTTATCCGATGAGACATAGTCATACGCTTTAATTCCCTAACTTTTGCTTGGACCACCCTTTCAGGTTTTAGGTCCACTGGGAAACCCCTTTTTTTGCCCAAGTCGCCCTTTCGGATTCTCAACTTACCGGGTGTACAGATTTTTTTTGTTTTATCCCTAATTTTTTCCTGAACCGCCCTTTCAGGTTTTCGATTCACCGGGATGGCCCATTTTTGCCCAAGTCGCCCTTTCGGGTTTTCAACTTGTCGGGTCGTTTTATGCGTAGTATCTTTTGACTATGTCTGCATTCGCAGGGTGCGGCAAGTCGTCGCCGTCCATGGTGGTCAGAATCATTGCCCCACCAGAAAAGATGCTCTTGATTACAAATGGTCCTTCGTAAGTAGGAGTCCACTTGCCTCTGAGATCACTTTGCGGTAAGATGATCCGCTTGATTACAAGATCTCCGACTTGATATACTTGACGCCTGACTTTCTTGTTGAAAGCCTTGATCATTCGTTTTTGATACGTCTGACCATGACAAACAGCAGTACGTCGCTTCTCGTCGATCAAGTTAAGTTGATCAAGCCAGGTCTGAACCCAATCCTCTTCACTCAAATCGGCATCCTTCATAATCCTCAAGGAAGGAATCTGAACTTCCATGGGTAGAACAACTTCCATGCCATATACCAAAGAAAATGGAGTTGCCCCTGTTGAAGTACGTGTTGTGGTATGATATCCATGTAGAGTAAACGGTAACATCTCATGCCAGTCCTTGTAGGTGACTGTCATCTTTTGAATGATCTTCTTAATATTTTTGTTCGCGGCTTCAACAGCACCGTTCATCTTCGGCCGATAGGGAGATGAATTATGATGATAAATCTTGAACTTCTCGCATAGAGTGGTGATCATAGTGTTGTTCAAATTCATACTGTTGTCTGTGATGATCCTGTCGGGGACACCGTACCAGCATATGAGGTTCTGCTTGATAAAGCGGGTAACCACATTCTTTATAACCGAGGCAAAGGAAGCTGCTTCGACCCACTTGGTAAAATAGTCAATAGCGACCAGGATGAAGCGATGTCCATTGGATGCCGTGGGCTTGATCTCTCCAATCATGTCAATGCCCCACATTGCGAATGGCGAAGGAGCTGTCAGAATGTTAAGAGGAAAAGGAGGAATATGTACCTTGTCGGCGTAGACTTGGCACTTGTGGCAAGTGCGGGAGTGTTGATGACAATCAGCTTCCATGGTAGACCAGTAGTAGCCTGCCCTCAGAATCTTTTTAGCCATCGTGTGTCCGCTCAAGTGGGTGCCAAATGTGCCACTGTGTATATCGGTCATTGTGATCGGTGGGAATAGAACTGACTGTTTTGGAATACTGGTTCGCGTTTGCGTTTATTTTCGCAAAATGTCGCAGTAAGAAAGAGTCGCCACCGTCTTTTATTTTATCTAACAAGGAAAGGACAAAAGCATAGAAAAATTCCTTTTTGAGATATTTCTCGGGTTCGGGAGGTAGATTATAGAAAGGGAAGGTGTTAGCACCCTTTCTATCCGTGGTTATCCACGGGCTCTTAGGTACTTGCTCACTATATTTTCAAAAGTTTGCTTTTCTTTGTGTTCGTGGGTTTTGAAAAGAGTTTTGTTTTTGAAGAGAGTGTAAGTGCGAAAAGTTTGTTTTTGTTTTAAAAGGAGCAAGTACTTAAGAACATCTACCTACTCAAAAAGGAATTAAACTGTGCAAATGTCCTTTAGACAGTGCTATCCCACTATTGAGGAGTAGGTAGCACCGTCGTTGGAGTTTTCGGGTCAATTCGATTTTAGGGATGTGTGGTCACTAAAGCAACATTAGGACGCCTTAGCGGTAACCCTAATGTCTTAGATCATTTTTATCCGAGGCAACCGTTTCGAGGCAACTTTGATCTTTGGACAGGAGGGCGACCTCTAAAACTTCTTATACTCAATGACCACGTTCGAGGCAACCAAGTGAGATGTCCCTAGGAGTGGCATGTGCAAGTGTGTCAATTTTCAGTTATATTATATTTGCATGTCATGGTGAGCTACTGTTGATTTTAAGTTTAAGAGTTAATCTTGTCATGCATAGCCTAGTTAGCATACATCTAGCAGTTAATGGTTGCGGAAAATAAAACTAAGTTATTACAAGGCGTCGGGTATTTACATCGCCAAAAACAAACCCTTGAAAATTAAATGCGAAAAGTAAATAAAAGCGGTAAATAAAATCCTAAGTTAAAGTTATTACATCCTCGGAGCAATTACAATTATGGATAAAAAATAATACGCGCGAGAAAATTGAATCGGAATGTCCTTTAGGGTTTTGACCCTTTTATTGAATAAAGCATATTTTTGGTCTTTTTTGATTTAAGAATTAAGTCTAAATTAATAATGAAATTAAAGAAAATATTTTTTGAGTTTTATTTTAATTAAGGAAATAAAATCAGAAATATTATAAAAAAAAAAAACCTAATTCTAAGTCAATTTTAATTTATTGTAAAAAATGTTAAGATTAAACCTAATTAAAAAAAAACTAAATTAATTGGTTAATGGTTTATTTACAAAAATAATGAAATTAATAATGAAAATTATATTTTTGATTTCTGGTTTTTTATGAAAAAAAAGGTTAGTTTGTTAATTAATTAGTTAGTTTTTAATAATAATAATAAAAGCAAAAGAAATATGAAAAGAAAATAAAGACATAAGCAAACTTTGGGGGTCGCTGGGCCTGAAGAAGGGAGGCTGATTCTGCAATTCCAGGCCCAGATTCGAACAGCCTCGTTTGACTTTAAGATTGCCTGGACGTTTGTTGACCAAGGTTCATGGTGAACCTCATCTTGGACTAGGCATGGCAAAAAAACCCAGACCCGCTGGGCCCCGCCTGGACCCGCCCTGAAATTAACGGGGAAAACCCGGCTAAAACGGGTACGGGTGCGGGGGCGGGTAAAACCCGGTTTCTAACTACGGGTGCAGGGGCGGGGGCGGTAAGACACTGAGACCCGCCCGCACCCGCACCCGCCCCGCCCCGAATAATCCAATTACTATAATAACCTTGTTTTAATTATTTTTATGTTACTTTTATTTTCTCAGCTTCTTAGAAGCATTTTCTCAAGTCTCATCTTCTTCTCTCAAATCTCAATGCAAAATCACCGCAAGTCCGCAACGGCCGACGGCGTTGCTGCCATCACCACTACCACAACATCATCCCATCGACTTCGCCGCACACCAGCCCCTTTGCTCAGCCGCTGGATTTGAAAGGTTAGATCTATCATCTATGTACTCTATCATCCTATTAGGTTTTAATTTACCAGCATCTAATATCTCTTGTTTGGTGAGATTTGCAAAAGATAATGGAATGTCAGTGTCACTGTCAATATTTACCAAGGATAATATAGGTTACGTCGAAGGTCTATCTGTATGAGTTGTGTTAGGTTTCCTGGTGGATAGGGTTCTGAATAGGGTTCTTAAAGAGCTAAGTTTCAATTGATGGGGTTATTAAAGAGATAATATTTCCTATGGATACATGAAGTGTATCATTAAAACCTGTGTATTCAAGGTATAACTACTGGGTGAGTGAACTAAACTGAAATTCGGACAACCTGTGTATTCAAGGTATAACTGGGTGAGTGAACTAGACTGAAATTCGGGCAAACTGTCAATGAGATTTGGATTATATCCCAAATTCAGATATTTCAATTTTGAAAGATGAAATACTGCAACTGGAAATTTACCATACAACTCACAATCCATAAGAGATAGTGCTTGAAATCTCTTTTTGGAATGGCAGAATTGGAGTTTTGTTTCAGCAATGAGGCAAAAGAAGACAGGGTATTCCACTTCCTGGAATTATGATACCAATATTAAAGAAGGCAGGGTTTTATTTGTTCACTTTAATGAATTGTGTTATCCATGGAAATGTCATTCTACTGCATCTTTCCTTACTACTTATTTTAGGACAGTTGAAAATGAACAATCCTGTTCTCTTCTAATATTTGTTCTTTCGAAGATCCTGCTCGATTGTAGTAGGGAAAGGAAGCTCGGGCAAATATTCCAATTTCTTGCAATTCTCCAAGTTCAAATATACAAGCTTGAAAAGCTCCCCAAGGCTAGGCAGTGTCACAAAATTGTTCCCTCCAAGATTTAACATTTCTAACCAGTGTAAGCATCCAATTGCCTCAGGGAATAGTTGACTTAAACCACAATTGCTAATATCAACTTCATGTAAACAATATATGCTAAGTAAGGAAGGAAACATAATTGTGTCTGTTGTGGGAGTGGAAAACAAGGAGTGGTAAGGCTTTGAGGTCCATTTGCAGATGGAGGACGTTGATTGGGAATGTGAAGTAGTTTCAGTTATATCCAAATGCCCTGTATTGCTAAACTCTTTGAAACAACACCTAGAACACCCAGACATTTTTAGAACTTTAAGAGAGCTGAGACTAAATATGTTGTTGGGTATGCTTACAAGACTTTTGCAACCTTTTAAATTCAAGAAAACAATCTTTCTTAGAAGCTCAATAGATGGATCCAACAACGCATGGCTTTCATATTGATGACACTTTGGGTGAGTTAAAGGAAAAGATGAAGTAAATGTGTAAGAAAAGAGTGAATAGAGAAAAATAAAATTGAGTGGCAAAACAAGAGACCACACAGACAAGAGTGAAGAATTAGTAGTGTGATGAATGGCATGTGGATTATGGACATAGTCAAAAGAAGGGAGGCCTAGCTGCTAGCTATAAAGTCTAATTTAGTTAGTAATAAGTCAAAGTCAGGCATTAGAATTAGTTGCATACAAAATCAATGTCTATTTCAATATTACTTTAAACACTCATTAAATATTGTGCAATTTCGTGCTGTTTTGTTTTACATTCAACAATTTTTTAGTATAAAATTGGATGTTGTTTTGTTTTACATTCAACAATTTTGTACTCTTATTATAATAGTATTAAATTAGAAAATCCATTTTGTTTTACCGTCCAACTGCACTCACTTTCATTCATTTTATTAATACTAGTTTATTATATATTTCATTTATTAATACTAGTTTATTATATATTTCATTTATTAGTACTAGTTTATCCTTATTCTTATTTTGAATACTAGTTTATTCTTATTCTTATGTACAACTTAATTATTTTACAGGATAATTAGTTATGGAAAATGAAGATACCTCTCAAATACGATGTCCACCTATCTCACAAGAAAGTACACATCAACCAATTCCCAATGAAAGTGGTAACCAATCAGTTGATGTTCCTCCTCCCACGCCAAATGATATTATGGAGGTTGATAGCCAAACAACCACAAGTCATCGATCCAGACAGAAAAGTTTTGTATGGAATCAATTTACAAAGGTCAAAGTTGACGGAAAAAATAAGGCTCAATGTAATTATTGCTCAAAGAAGCTTAATGGATCATCAAATGATGGGACGTCACATTTAAAAGGACATTTGGGATGTTGTCCTAAAAAGAAGATTTTGAACCTATCTGATAAAGGACAAACAATTCTTACGCCTAGATCCATGCAAGGTAAACAAGAGTTGAGTACTGGAATTTATGATGCAGAAAATTCTAAGAAAGAGCTTGCACATGCAATTATTTTGCATGAATATCCGCTTTCAATAGTGGATCATATTGGTTTTAGAAGATACTCAACTTCTCTCCAACCAATATTTCAAGTTCCTTGTAGAAATACTATAAAGAAGGAGATACTCAAAGTATAAAATATGGAGAGATCATCAACTTTGAAGTTGTTAGAAAATCTTGAAGGAAGAGTGGCTATTACTTCTGACCTTTGGACCTCGAGCAATCAAAAAAAGGGATATATGGCTGTCACTGCTCATTACATTGATGGAAACTGGAATTTACAGAGTCACATTTTGAGGTAAATCTAATTTCTTCGAATAATACATTAATTGCATATTATATATAGTTTTGTAATCACATTTTGAGGTAAATATAATTTCTTCTAATAATAGATTAATTGCATATTATATATAGTTTTGTGAATCACATTTTGAGGTAAATCACATTTATACTAGTTTTGTGAATCTTATTATGTTAGGTTCATTTATGTTCCTGCACCTCATACTAGTGAAAACCTTTGTGGTGCATTGGTTGAATGTTTGATGGATTGGAACATTGATTCAAAATTGTCTAATATCACTTTGGACAATTGTAGCACAAATGATGCAATGATTGATAAAATTAAGGCTAAGTTGAAACCAGAGACATTATTAAGGGACGAGGTCTTACTTCATATGCGTTGTTGTGCACATATACTAAATTTGATAGTAAAAGAAGGGTTAGAAGTTGTGAAAGATGGAATAGAGATGATTCGAGATAGCGTTGCATTTTGGACAGCAACTCCTAAAAGGAAGGAACGGTTTGAGGAGACATGTAAACAATTAAAAATACCTTGCACCAAGAATTTAGTTTTAGATTGTCCAACTAGATGGAATTCTACCTATAAGATGCTTGATGTTGCTATTTTGTATCAAGAGGTATTTGATAGATTAGCAATCCGTGTAACTCAGTACACTTGTTTGCCAACAACTTTACATTGGAAATTTGCAAAAGAGATTTGTGTAAAATTGAAATTGTTCAATTCTATCACTGAAGTGTTTTCTGGAACTAAGTATCCAACTGCCAATGAATACTTCCCTAAGATTTTTCAGATTAAAGTTTCATTACTTGAGTGGATTGAATCCTCTGACGAATTGGTAAAAAGAATGGCAGAAAATATGTTGGTAAAGTTTGAAAAATATTGGAGTGTGATTCATGAAATAATGGGGGTTGCTGCTGTTTTGGATCCTAGGTATAAAACTGATTTGCTTGAATATTATTATGGAGTGTTCTAAGGGAATGATGTTGATTCCCAAGTTAAGTCAATCAGACAGTTGTGTTACGAGTTAGTTTATGATTATCAATTAAAAATGAACAAGGATTCTAGAAGTGAATCTGAAATGTTGGATGCTAATGTTGGAAATGTTAGTAATGATGGTTTGAAAGACTATGATTTGTATGTCATAAGAAAAAAAAGAGCTAGAACTTCATCTGTTAAAACAGAGTTGGATGTTTATTTGGAAGAGGAAGTTTTACCAAGAAGTCCAGATTTTGATATTTTATTATGGTGGAAGTTGAATGGGATTAAGTATCCAACACTTCAAGCAATTGAAAGGGATGTATTGGCAATTCCTGTTTCTACTGTGGCTTCTGAATCCGCATTTAGTACAAGTGGTCATATCATAAGCCCTCATCGAAGTCGACTTCATTGGACCACTTTAGAAGCTTTGATGTGTGCAAGAAGTTGGTTATGGAGTGCTGAGAATAATGGTAAAGATCTTTCTTGTTTATATTTTTTATTTTTACTTGCCAAGACTATCATTGACTATATTTTACTATATTGATAGGTAATTTGAAATCTAACGTGGGAAATGAAAATGCTATTTTACTAACTGAAATGGAGTCTGATGATGAAGGTATTATTCATACTATTTGTATTAAATTTGTCAAGTTAAATTTTTATATTTTAACTTTTATTTTTTAACACAGGTGAGTTGTTGATTGATGGTGCTACTTCTATTTCCAACTCCCGCCTCGAAGATGAAGATTATTAGAAAATTTGTTGTTTATTTGGATCTTTTTTTGTTATGATGATATCGTATATTTTGTTCCATGTTGTTGGAATGGTTATTTTGTTCCATGTTGTTGGAATGGTTCTTTTGTTGATTGTATTGTTTTAATTTTGTATTTGTACTTTGCAAAAAAATTGTTGGTTGTTGGGAGTGATTTATACTATGATATATTGAAAGATTACACTCTTTTAATGAATCACAAGTTCACAACCAATTATAGTTGATTGAAGGGTTATGATAGAAAAATATTTGGAATGGTGTTTGAATATTAAATCCTACAATTATTTACTCAAATCAATGGCGAATTTTGTATTTTTAATGTATTTGTTAATGCTGTCCAGGAAATTTGTGAAAAAAATAGATATTTTTTTATTTAAAAAAAAACAGTTTTCGCGGGTGGGGGGCGGGTGCGGGTGCGGGTGACCCGTTCTCCATTGGGGGCGGGTCTGGGGGTGAATTTCCATTCCCCGGCGGGTTTGGGGGCGGGGGCGGGTCTATTACTGGAGTTGCGGGTGCGGGGTTAGCTAAACCCGCCCCCGACCCGCCCCGTTGCCATCCCTATCTTGGACCACTGGATCTGGATCTAGAACCACCTGACGCATGGGCGCCTGAGGCATATGGTGGACCATGTTCTTGCACGCTGCATGGGATTACCTGAAAACAAAATATTTTAAAGTTTTGGGAGGACCTAGGATTCGAACCCAAGTCCCATTGGACAATTCGACCAACGTGCTACCAACTGAGCCATGATGTTAACTTGTTAGTGGATTATTAATCAGATATTATAAAACAAACCAACAATTATTCCCTGAAAATAAAAAAGGTGTGGCGCGCGTTTTAAATGGGCCAGTGGGAAGAAGACACGTCTTCGTCTTCCCCACAGCCCCCTGGTTTGTTTAATGCGGATTTTACATCCATAGCAAAATCCCTAACTGGCTTCCAAAACTATCTATAGGCCATGAAAACGAGTTTTAAGGGACACCCTCACACTCGTCTCCTTCCCCTGAATTCATCCATGGCCATTATTGGCCTTAATTTAATTTGCACAAGGAACGCCCAAAAACAAGAACAAGAACCCTAGGTTCTAAATATGGGGTTAGAAACCACAAAATTCAAATCAAATAATGCAGAATCAATGTAAATTACATGGTCGGTATGAATATGCAAACCGTTTGGCAAAAATATGCAAGAAAAGTGGTTCACGATTTCTTGTGCAGAGGTGATTTCAAGAACACTTACAGCGAGTTTTAGACTGCCTTAGGGCTTGGTTTTGATTAGTATGGCTCCACTGGGTGTCAAGGAAGAGAGCTGCGTTTTGCTTTTGGTCTGAATTCACCTCTAAACCAAAATCCGATCACCACTTGCTCAAGGTTTTTTTGCAAAACTGTTATGGCCGTTTCCACAGAGTTTTTGTGCGTTTTTCTTTGTCTGCAGAGTTTCGTGTGTGTTTTGTTTATGAGCATGAGGTTTATATATACAAGGATTTTAGGTCAACAATTGTGTATCAAATCTTGGTCCATTATGATGAAGAGATTTGATTTGATTTTTTCATTAAGACTTGCTATATTTGATTCAATCAGGTGCTAATCTATTTTCAGGCGTTACTGCCAGCCTGTTATGAGCTGTTTGGGCCTCCAATATGATGAAATCAAAAGCTGACTTGCCCCTTCGAATTTGCTCTTTTCGATTGCTTCAAAGTCCCCATTCGAACTACTCTAGTCACAGCCCCTTCGATTGAGACTCCCCCTGCTTCGATTGCATATTTGCAAGGGACACA